ATGAAGTTTATTAGGGTAAGAGCATTAATATATCAAAATTTACTTGTTAACTCTTTAGCTTTGTGTTGTTTGTATATTTGATTTTGAAACAAAAAAAATGTATTTAGGTAAAATGAAGATTGCAGTGTTTGCTAAATGATGACTTAGATTTATTACACACAAAAGTGAGTATAAAATACTTACTGCAATGTCATAAGCAGTTGCTCGTACATTATCAACTCTACCACTTCTTGATCTACTCAGTCTCCTTACAGACTTCTAAGTGGTAAAATATATTGGATTCTTCCATTTCAGGATCCAAGAGCAATCAATTAATTGGGTTCTGTCTATTCTAGAGACATTGCCTCATTTCTCTTCGGATTGAAGACACATTCTAGTTTGTTGCTTGAAGAGAGAACAAGTACTTTCTCTACACTGTTCCAGAAGAGGTAGTTGAATAAATTACAATTCCACAAATATTTAATGCATACATACATTGTTTGGTTCAGCCAATGACCTCAACCTAGGTGTGGTATATTATTACATTAATGGACACCAATGAAACACAACTCCTTACATTCACGTCCTTGTATTGTCCCCTTCCACATTGATTCTTTGCTTGGCCATGTGACTTGCTTTCACCAATGAAACATCAGACATATGATGCAAGCAGAAGCCTGATGAGCACTTGTCACTGGCGCTGGCTCTCTTGGAACTCTGTGATTACACTTAGAAGAATCTAGGATGAAAGCCCACATAGAGAGAGAATCTCGGCCCCTCCCAGTTATTTAAGCCATCACAGGTGAGGCCCAAAACAAGTGACTGAGATCATCTTAGACCATCCAGCCCCATCCAAGCCACCAGAAGAATGTAGTCACACATGGGATCCAAGTGAGGTCAGTAAGACAAACTAGTCAACCAAGAGAAACATGAGAAATGATAAATCATTGGAGTTTTAAGCCAATAAGTTTGGTTTGTTACAGAGCCCTATAGAACTGATATATTAGGTGTTAAGTATTAAAAATATTTATTCTTGGCCAAAAGCACAAACCAAGGTCTAAGTGGGAAAACTCATAAAAGTAAAATAAAAACATTGAAATTCTTACTCTACTAGAAAAATATAGGTGCAGGGGCGCCTGGGTGGCGCAGTCGGTTAAGCATCCGACTTCAGCCAGGTCACGATCTCACGGTCCGTGAGTTCGAGCCCCGCGTCGGGCTCTGGGCTGATGGCTCAGAGCCTGGAGCCTGTTTCCAATTCTGTGTCTCCCTCTCTCTCTGCCCCTCACCTGTTCATGCTCTGTCTCTCTCTGTCCCAAAAATAAATAAACGTTGAAAAAAAAAATTTTTAGAAAAATATAGGTGCAGTGGGAGTTTAGAAGAAGGAATTCACATTCATAATAGGGAAAGCCTTCCAGAGTAAGCAAGAAAATATGCTTTTCTTTATACATTGTGTATTTCTCTCTTCCTACTAAATCACCAATTTTCTTTGCCTTCCTTTCTGAAAATGTAAAAAGAGCTGTAATGAATTGTCCCAGGAGCCATATGAAATGCTTATTTAATCCTTCTTTTGCTCCTTTCCAAATGATAGTCTTGGTGCCTTACAGATGTTAGATATTCAACGAACATCAAATTATTTTCTGAGCTGCAGAGAAACATTCTCTGTGGCTCATGAATAGTGATTTAATTTGAGCTTTATTATTAAAGAGAAATAAATGTAAAACATTTAGCCCATGGGATATAAAATTTTATTTGGGAAATATAATATTGTATTAAAGGAGAAAGATAGAAAGCAAGAACAGAAAAATGACTGTTTCTTTTATTTCTTTTCTTTTATTTTTTTTAAGTAAGGCTTCACACCCAGCATGGAGCCCAACACAAGGCTTGAACTCAAACCATGACCCTGAGATCAAGACCTGCGCTGAGACAGAGAGGGAGAATTGGACACTTAGCTGACTGAGCCACCCAGGTACCTCAAAATGATTGTGTTTCTTAACTGAGTGTTAAACAGCTCTTGGTACATTGTACTGTTCCCTTGGGTTGTAAACATATGAATAATTTATTACTGCTGTTTGTTGGTTCTCCAGAAGTTTATGAACAACCGCTCACCTGCCTTTATTTTCAAACTTCTAACTCTATTTTTACCTAAGTTTTATTTTTTCATGGGTTTCTTAAAATGTGTTTGCAGTTAATTTCCATAGTAAAATATTCTAGAAGAATTCAGTATGTTTACTGTTCTTGAGGCCATCCCTTTGAAATCAGAGATGATAAGATCACCAGGGCTGCTTGGCCACCTTAAGCATTTCATATGCTTGAAGGAAAGTAAGGGAGCAGCAGTACTGAGACTACTATTTGGGGCTCTTTTTTTCTAATCACAGCCAATGATTTTGATTGTTGTATGTTGGTCTTGAACGAACAATGGGAAGTGAAAACCAACAATAAAAGGAAAAGAACTAAAACTAACTTTAGGAATCAATATGAAATATTCTATTTTCCAGTTATATACCCTTTCTCTCCTACTGGGTGTTTTAATCATCATCTTTATCTAAATACTTTATTTCATTTTCTCTCATCAGTAAATTAGAAAAAGTGTATTGTAATGTATATTTTACTGCTTCTATCCTGTCATTGAAAACACTTTTTATTTAAAATATGTCAGTGATATAAAAGGGTAAACTTAAATCAACTTCACCAAAAGCATTTCCTATAATTTCTAAAATAACTTTACAGTTTCAGGATTGCTAGGTCACTGTACCTTCAAAACAGACATGACAAAATATACCATAGAAATACCACAACAGGGGTGCTTGGGTGGCTCAGTCAGTTAAGCATCTGCCTTCAGCTCAGGTCATGATCTCATGGTTCATGAGTTCAGTCCCACACTGAGCTCTCTGCTGTCTGCACAGAGCCCACTTCAGATCCTCTATCCCCACCCTGCCCTTCCCCCACTCATGATTGCTCTTACTCTCACTCTAAATAAATAAATAAATAAATAAATAAATAAATAAATCCTTTTTTTAAAAAAAAAGAAAAAGAAATACCACAACAACTAGTGTTTCCAAAGAAACCTTTTCTAAGTTTCTTGAAATATAAATTCATTATGAATTTAGCTGATGGAATCTTTCTATTGAAGGTGTTCTAAGCATATAAACCTATGATTCAGATCATAGGTTTGTGGCAACATAGTCTGGATCTTGTGGCGTCATCAGGGACACTGATAGATAATATGTAGTCAGGACAGTTTTCCCTTCCAGGTAGTTAAATATTCCTCTTCTTTGGGTATTTAAAATCAGATTAATAATGTTCTAGAATAATGGATCGCTTTTCTTTGTGTTTTTCTGCCATTATTACTGCTTCCTCAAGCATTATAGAGTCCCTGTGATACAAAGAGAATGTCAATAATGATCTAATTGTACAGATAAAGAAACTGACAACACAGAGAAGGTATAGTAATATAGGGACAGAGCTTGGAATCCAACATGTCTGTTACTAGATCCAGGTGCTTCTGTCAAGTTTGATCATCTTAACATTATACTATTTATAAGAATGTTTAGTGTTATCTCTTATATAACTTAATTCAACACCTTAGCAAATAGACAACTTTTTTTTTCTCCAAATTAATGTAATAATGAAATGCAATAAAAATACTATTTTATTTATATGATGAATTCATTATAAAGATCTTCTGAAGGCATAAATATGAGAACCATCAAAACAATCTCAGAGTGAAAAAAATGAGAGAACTTTTTCTTACTCATTATCAATGTATCATATAATTATTATTTACTCTACAATTATATAACTTATTAATAAAATATGATTATAGGTAATTAGAAAGTGTACAGGACTGGACAGATGGCACACAGACTGACAGGTTAAAAATTGAGCAGTGGGCACCTGGATGGCTGGCTCAGTTGGTTAAGTGTCTGACTGCTGATTTTGGCTCGGGTCATGATCTCACGGTTCATGAGTTGGAGCCCCAAGTTGGGCTCTGCACTGACAGCATGAAGCCTGCTAGGGATTCTCTCTTCCTCTCTCTCTGCCCCTCCCCCCTCTCAAAATAAATAAATAAACTTTAAAAAATTGAGCAGAATAGGGAATCTATTAAAAAAAATGTCATCATGGACGCAACTTTAATCTGTGGAGAAATCATTTCATTATGTTGAGACAAGTGGCAATCAGTTTGGGAAGAAAAACTAAAATAATCTCAGATTTGTACCTCACATATGCACTAAAATCATCTAGAAAATTTAAATGTAGATATAAATACAAAAGAACAAAAAGAAAATATAAGAAAAAATTTTTGGATTGTGCAAAGAAATCTTTTTCAGTAGAAGACCAAAGGCAGGAACCCTGTATATCACAGAAAATTGACTACCTAGAAATAAAAGAAATATGTATAGCAAAATACAACATAAACAATGTTCATAATAATAAACTTGGAAAATAATTAACAACAAAAATGAGGGCAAAAGTGTTATTATCCTTGGTATATAAAGAGCTCCTACAAATCAATAATGAACAACGAACTAGACAAATAAGCAAAAAATGTATATGAGCAAATCAGTAAAGTTTATGCAAAATTAAACACAATGAAATAATTTTTTCATCTAAGATTATTGACGACTAAAGTTAAAAAAAAACATGATGGGTAATGTTGACAATAGAATGACCAGGGATATTGTTATAAAATCTTGATACTTGTGTAAATTGGTACCAATTTTAGATAACAATTTGGCAACAATTTGTGTGTGTGTGTGTGTGTGTGTGTGTGTGTGTCTGTGTGTGTCTGTGTCTCTGTGTGTTAAAATATTTGCAAGAATGTATTGCAAACTATCAAAAGTAGTTGGGAAATGGAATCTCCAATGGTTTTTAAAATAATTTTTTATGTTAGAAAATGTTTACTATGGATAACTTTTTGTTTAAATCATGAAAACATATTTAAAACAAGTATGTTGCATAATATTAAGATAGTCTATCATTAACCCAGGGATCCTTCTGCAGATTGAAGAAACTTCAGGACAATGGCTGGAGGAAGGAACAGTACAATAGTCATCAGATTCATCCTTTTGGGATTCTCAGATTATCCCAAGATCAAGATCGCTCTCTTTGTAGTATTCTTGGGTTCTTACCTCTTGACAGTGGCTTGGAACCTGGGCCTCATCATCCTGATTAGGATGGACTCTCACCTACATACACCCATGTACTTCTTCCTCAGTAACTTATCTTTCTTGGATTTCTGCTATGTTACCTCCACAACCCCGAAAATGCTCTCAGACTTCTTCCAGAAGCCTAAATCCATCTCCTTTCTGGGATGCACCATGCAGTACTTCTTCTTCTCTAGCCTGGGTCTGACTGAGTGCTGTCTCCTGGCCGCCATGGCTTATGACCGATATGCTGCCATTTGTAATCCTCTACTCTACACCGCCATCATGTCACCCACCCTCTGTGTACAGATGATGGTTGGAGCCTGTATAACTGCTGTCTTTGGTTCATTGATCCAATTGTGTGCTTTACTTCAGCTCAATTTTTGTGGGCCCAATGTTATCAACCACTTCTTCTGTGACCTGCCTCAATTATTAGTCCTATCCTGCTCTGAAACCTCTTTCCTAAAAGTCATGAAGTTTGTGATAGCAGTGATTTTTGGTGTAATATCTGTCTCAGTCATCATGATATCTTATGGTTATATCATTGCTACCATCCTGAAGACAAGCTCTGCTGAAGGCAGGTCCAAGGCCTTCAATACCTGTACTTCTCACCTGACAGCAGTGATCTGTTTTTTTGGATCAGGACTCTTTGTCTATATGCACCCCAGCACTGATAATGCTCTGAACCATGACAAGATGGCATCAGTCTTCTATACAGTGGTGATCCCCATGTTGAATCCTTTGATTTACAGTCTGAGGAACAAGGAAATCAAAGACGCCTTTAAGAGGTGTAAGAAGAGAGCTTTTTCCCATTGTCATAGTTAAAGGTCTGGCAGGCTAGTGGTCCTGGTGACTGGAAGTTTCTAGACTATGCAGAGAAATGCATTTAACTTTATTCAATCCTACTGATGCTCTGGCAGGAATGCAAGTGAGTCAACCCATCTAAATCCAGGACTGGTTCACTGGGATGCAAATCCTGTGGCTTCTTTGCATCTTGACAGTTGGCTCTTCTCTTGTATAGCGATAATAACATCACAAGTTAACTATATGAACTGTTATATTAATATAAGCCTTCAGTTCCTTGGTGTTTAGCCCTTACATATTCTTTCAGAACTTCTGCCTGCAGGCTGGAGTGATTAGGGCTAAACACAAGACTGGTGGTCTTTCTCATACACAACATCACAATCAGCATCATGACCACTTCATCCCAGACTCCAAACCCTCTAGGTGTCTGAGAAAATTCCAGTTAAATAAGGTGGAGCTATGGAAAGAAACATTAGTTTAGACTGTGACCTAATTCCCTGCAGGGAGATCTGCTATAGAGAGTTTGGTCTAGAGTTTGTTTTCTGGGTTTTTATTTCTAGAACTCAGCATCAGTAGTTTGCAAGTGAATGAACAGGAGATTTCCATGGTACTGCCCTGATCTGGGAAAGCTAAACTACAAAGGAAAGAAATGGTCATTTGGACTCTAAAATGGAGTCCAAGTTATTATTATTATGGCAGACTGGATAGCATAAATGTACCCATCACTGCAAAGCTGTAACAAGACCATTTTTTTAAAGAAACTGTTTTTAAAAATATATTTCTGAGCAGGCAAGAAAAGATGAAACCTTCAGAACCAAATATAAAGTAAAATCAGGAATCATGAGAGTAAAGACAGCTCAGAAGGTGGCTTTCATGGTGGGGGAATCTGCTGAACTCTGACAGGATCTGTATTTTGACAGGCATGTGAGGCTTGGGGAAAGAGAGACCAAGCCTGGGGTTGCCTGGGAGTTAGATAGGAGACCCAGATATACACATGAGGGTCCAATCACTGTACTTCAGTATGAGAGGAAATTAAGAGAAAAAAAACCGTGTCTCCCAGAAAGGAAATCTTGACTCTCTCAGCTTTCATGCTCGGTATGGGGAAAAGTAAACTAAGAATTTGTAACCACCTGCTGTAATAGAGGTTTGTGGTCTGAATTCCCCCTACCTGGGCGGTTCAAGAAATCTTTAGCTGAGAATTTATTTTAAATTTTTTTTTCAACGTTTTTTTATTTTTATTTTTGGGACAGAGAGAGACAGAGCATGAACGGGGGAGGGGCAGAGAGAGAGGGAGACACAGAATTGGAAACAGGCTCCAGGCTCTGAGCCATCAGCCCAGAGCCCGACGCGGGGCTCAAACCCACGGACCGCGAGATCGTGACCTGGCTGAAGTCGGACGCTTAACCGACTGCGCCACCCAGGCGCCCCGAGAATTTATTTTAAAGTAATCCCAGGTTGGTAGTACCCTCAAGTACCCTCAATCAGAAACAAATGCAAATCCTCATTTAAGATTCTTAAGAGAGAATCTTAAACCCAGGCTCAAATAATTTCCCTAAATAACTGTTTAAAGAAAATTGGGTAACACAAATCTCAAAGTCCAAAGGAACAAGACCTTGTGGGTGAAAGCCAAGAAGACATGGCCACATCACACCAATAAAAGATGTCAGGAATGGCCACTGTCTCAATACAAATATAAAATAGATGGACTGATATGTTCAGGAATAAGGAAAACTTAAAATGTCTTTTGAAGACCAGCAAAATGAAGTTTACTGAGGATTTATTCATCTGGCAATGTGGTGAATTATACCCAAATGATTCTCCTAAGTGAAACTGTTACAGAAACTGGTCTGGATCACCCGGCAGAAGAACCAAGTGGAAGTCAGGAGATTTATTTTATACCGATGGGTTCAGAGATCATTCTCCAGAGGTCTGAGTCCAGAACATCAACAGAGGGGACAACTTATAGTCTGTTACTTACGCATTCCTCATTATTAGTAATTTGGTGCCTGAGGCAAGCAGGGTGGGAAGAACCCGGAAGGGAAGTCTTCAGGCAGGGACTGAAATTCCCTTATCAGTCCTGTCGGCCATCATATAACAGGTTTTTCCCTATCAAAACAACTAAAATGTTGGATTTGAAATAAAATAACATTTTAAGTGAATTTCCTCTTAGCTTAATGAAAAGGAGGAAGAACAAGCTAAGCCCCCAAATGAAATGAAACCAGGAACCCAGGGAAATAAAAAAGTGCCAAAAATGGCTTTCTTCTTGGAGAGTCTTACTGAACACTGGAGACCCTGAGCTTCTGCTACATAGACTGTGTGGGTGGTGAGGCTAGAAGACCAAACTCAGGGCGTGCTCCAGGTGATTCAGACAGAAACCTGTACATAAAGCCCAGAGGAGTCTCCCCTCAGTGTTAATTAGTGAGAATTTCCACAGATTATGCTCAAAAACACCAAAAAACAGTTATAGCAAATAAAAGCACAACCCTATATACAGAGTCAAGACCCCATAACTGAGAACCAGCAGGGGGAAAATTGTCCACATAAGCAGACCTAAAAATATTCAGACATTGGAATTATCAGTAAAGAGGATAAGACAATTAAGAACAGCCATGGTGAAACAGGTTAAATCTCCCCCAGAAAGAAGATACTCACTCCTCAAAGGGAGCTATACTGAGAACAGGTCTCAAACCTGGCCACTCAGAGCACTGAAAACAAGAGAATCAAATGGAGGAGGACTTACCATTTGCCACAACATGGATGGACCTTGAAGGCATTATGCTAAGTAAAGTAAGTCAGAGAAAGACAAACATATGATCTCACTTGTATGTCAAATCTAAAACAAACAAACAAAACCCAATCTCATAGATACAGAGAACAGATTGCTGGTTTCCAGAGGGAGTAGGGTGTAATATGGGCAAAATGGGTGAAGCTTACCAAAATGAACTTCCATTTATCAAATAAATCATGGAGGTGTAATGGACAGCATGGCGACTCTAGTTAATGATACTGTATTGTATATTTGAAAGTTGCTAACAGAGTAGATCTTAAAAATTCTCATCTCAAGAAAAAAATTAAGATGGATGTGAACTAGACTTAATTATGGTGATCATTTCACAATAATATATGAACATCAAACCATGGTATTATACATCTGAAATTAATACGATGTTACATATCAATTATAATCTCCAAAAAAAAGCAAAGGGAAGAGGTTTGGTAGATCCATGTGGTGGAATAATAGCCATAACGTTATGGAACCAGGTTGGAATTCTGGCGGAAAAACCAAGCGGCACTCAGAGATCTTAGTGGATCGGAGATTTATTTAACATCAGTGGGCTCAAAGGAGACCATTTCTCCAAAGATCTGAGCGCTGAATGCAAGTGGGAAGGGTAATTTATAGTTGTCAGCTTCCATATCTGTGGCGGGTTTTCGTGTGCGCGGCAAACGGAGCAAGAAGAACCCAGAAGAGGGGTCTCTAAGCTAGAGATCAGAGCTTGTTTTAGTCCCATTGGCCATCTTGGGTGTATTTTATTCATTTCTCCAACATTCCCCACTTTGATTCCTTTAAAAAAAAAACTTTTAGTAGGCATCACCTTTTAGTTTTACAGGTTGGTACTCTCAGAAGGGTAAGATACATGAAGTAGTTTGACGGGCAACAGTGTTTTCAATAAAACATACCATGGCATTCAGGGGCCGATGGATACAAGTAAAATTATGGAGAGGAGGGGCCCCATCAGGGCAGGAAGCCAGGATGCCCAATCCATGAGATCCCATCCATTCCATTGACTGATACTTTCCTGTTGTCTACATTGAATTCTTTCCTTGAGTTCCTTAACCTTAGTTGTAACTATTCCTGACTGGTTTACAAAACAGCAACATTTCTCTCCCCAGAAAGATGCAAGTCCCTCCTTTTTCTGAAGTGAGGAGGTCGAGGGCTTGCCTATTTTGGAGGGTCACTGCCGCCAGATAGTTTATTTGGCTTTGTAAGGTTACCAGACCATCTGCCACTCATTCCGTGTCTTCATTTAGCTCTTGAGATAGTCTATTGTTTAGTCCTACGGATGAACCTATGCCCCCTAATCCGGTTCCTATTCCTGTCACAATTCCTGCTCCTATCAGAACAGGCAGCAGGATTGCCTGTTTAGCCTGGGATTTGGGGCCAAAGGCTGTTAGGAACTGATCTTCAGTGTATACAGATATCTCTGGGGTTAGGAAAATGGAATAACATATCTGAGTCCAGTTGGCCTCTAAGCATCGGTAGGCTGAATTAGAACACAGATAGAGCACCCCAGGGGTTGAACACAGGGTTGCATTCCTCTTTAAGGTTCTATTTCTTCCGCATAGAGAGGTACCGTTCATACCTTCAGGGACTGTACAGATTAGATTGTTGGCATTTGTGAGACAGACCCCAGTGGCCAAGGGTCCAATTAAGACAGAAGTGTTGGTTTTGAGATTTTCAGGAGCTTCTCAGGTCAAAGGGAGGATGGGAGTGGCTAAGTAAGCCCTCCAACTGAAGGGCAAGCACATCCAGCAGGTTTGGGTGTGATTATCTGTTTTATGGAAGACTTGTAGAGTAGTTTTGGCCCAATGCTGGAGTGGGGAATTGGTAAGCATCTGATTAAGAGCTGAAAGTTTCAAACCCTGGTAGGCTGCCAGGGGAGTGGTTGCCTTTATGGCTTATATTACCCTATCCTGGGTATCCTTTATAACTTTTTGAAGAGCGCTATCTTGCATTCCTTCCCCGTCCAAGATCCCCCATTGAGGAAGGTAAGTGTAGCAAGCTCACTTCCTTTTCTGGAGGCCTTGTTGTGACATGGGTTCCTGACATTTTGGGTTATCTCTATGGTCCAATACTTAGTCCTTGGGGCACCAGGTGACTGACAGACAGTGGGTGTTTTTCCCTTGTAGCAATCTTTGTGGAGGGAGGTGAAGGTGCTGAATGCCCTTGATCCCCTTTTTGTAATATAACAATCCTGGGAGAAAAGCAGGTAAGCAGCAGTTGTGAGGGTGAGAGAGGTTAT